TCTCTCTCTCTCTCTCTCTCTCTCTCTCTCTCTCTCTCTCTCTCTCTCTCTCTCTCTCTCTCTCTCTCTCTCTCTCTCTCTCTCTCTCTCTCTCTCTCTCTTTCTCTCAAAGAAGAATCTTTCGATTCTTTTTTCGTTCTCATTCTCCGTTCTCATCTAGGTGCGCGCGAAATGCATTGCAAAATCGAAAGCCGACGAAAGTCTCGCCTCGTCCCGTGCAGACCGCCTAGAAAGCTGAATTTATCGCGTCACGCCTCTTGTTTCTTAACACACGAAGATTACCTTACCCGCATCCGCTTCTAATCGGCGAAACCACGCTCTTTGGTTAACTACGACAAACACGTCCTTTCAGCGCTATTTACATTCCAGTCTCCCATCTTTGGCACGGAGCTACGATCGAATTTACATTATTATTATAACCGTGACGATACACGAACGCCATCTGTTCCTCGTATCCTCGCTCGCGGTAGCATTTACGATTCTCTTTCCCGCTCTCTCACCCGATATACGTTCCTCTCTTTTCTCTCATTCTTCTAATGAAACGATCGATCAATCGCGCATTGTTATAAGGTTATGTTAATAGTTGTACGTTCGTTCGTTTGATTCACGAAATAATACGTATTTATTTATAAGTCGTGCGATGATGATATTTTTATTAGATGGTAATAATGAAATGGAAGATTGATAGATTGTTGGTATAAATTCCATTTATGAAAATTGATGATCTGTATAACTTTTCTCTTTAGATCGAGATTAACGAGCAACTTTAACTCGTAAATGATCGAAATTTTACTTTATTTCGATTGAAATTTAATCGATTGGCTTGATGTAAAACGTGGTTTGATCATAGGGGGCTGTTTATACACGTTTCTAACATAAAATTAAATTGTTTCGTTAAATCTCGATAAATGAATTTCAATCGATATTTTTTTATATATTTTTTTTTTCACTAGGTACTTTTTGAATTGGATATTTTTAAGAATATTAAAATGAATGATCGGTGTTTTTTTTTATGTGTGTTTTTTTATCAATTATGAGATGAACTACTACATATCACAGACTTATATATCACTTATTTATGTAAGTAAACATCAATTAGCATCGTATGTTTTCTAGTTCATTGTGAATTATAATTGTCGATATTTTTCTTCATATTCTTTTTTTTTTTTTTTTTTTTTTGATATTCAAGGACCAGTAAGTCATACAGATTATGTCGATTAATTTTCTACAATAATAGATATAATGATGTCATGGCAACTCGTTATTGGTCAACATCGTTATTGAATTTTTTTCGAATTTTAATTAATTTTTCCTTCGGTTAACGGTCAATACAAGCTCACAAGATAATATAATATTAATAGATGATAATTTAAAAACCTTTGTATTGGTTTAAGTAAAATCATGGAAATATACTTTAGCTAAAAAAAAAAAAAAAAAATTACCATTCCTAATAACAAATCAACAAACAAGTTGCTTCGTAATACATCGATTCTTAATAAAATTTAGAATTTTTTTTATGTATATACGCATTCACATGCACTAAAAAGAAAAAAAAAACAAATAAGTTTTTAAATGAACAGATGTCAAGAAAGAAAATGTGAATTGAAAATTTAAAAAAAAATCCACTCTTTACTCAATAAAAAATGTATGTATGTACCATTTATGCACTTTTAGGTGTTATAAAGTTTCGATACTTAAACGTTATGACATTAACAGTTACCTATTATTAATCGTGAGTACAAAGTGAAAGTTAAGCGATTGTCTTTCACGTTTAACCTATTAGCTGAATCTATCGTTTCCTAATTCTCATTGTCAGCCGCAATTTTTACAATCTTTTACATATTTCATCGTTTCAAAATTCTCTCTGGAAAAGAGACAATGCCAATGAGTAATACAATTCTCTTCCCATTTCCAATGATGTAACGCGGCTGAACTCGAAACAAATCCCATCGAATCTTAAAACTCGAAACTTCTCTATTCAATTCAATAATTCCCGATCGTCCGTCTCGCGAGCCCAATCTTTCCGATCAAAAATCTTTACTCCCCCCTAAAAACTTACATCGACTCGCCTCCATCCTCTCGCCATCCATCCCTCGTACCCCACCTCACGTTGCTTCCTCGATCGAAGCAACGTGACTCTTCATCACCGATCTCCCCGATCTTGGGAGGATCTCCCGAGACCCGTGGCTGAAGTTAACCGTGAAGTAAGAACCGACCGACCGCCTCGTGGCGATCGTCTCACGTGAGAGGGAGGGCGCGGTGCTCGTCGACGAAGGCCGACGGCACGTCCACCATATTGGGAACAGGGGACGGCAACACGTTCGTATCACTCTCCGCGTCCCCGTCGCCGATCTCGTTCTCCGTCGCCCCGGTCAACTCGCGCACGTTCCCCGGCAGATAGTCCTTCCAACTTCTGAACAGATACCTGGTGAACTTTCTAAGCTGCCTGAACTTGCAATAGGTGGCGCCCTCCGCGGATTCCAACTGCTGCGTCTGGATCAGGAACCCCTTCTCCTTGAACGTTTGCTCCAGTTTCTCCCTCTGCAACGACTTTCGCGTCTTCCTCTTGCGACGGCCCTCCTCCTGACCGTTGCCACCGCCCCTCTGACAAGGTGGCGGTTGAATCCTTTCCCCTGCAGCGTTCAGGAAGGCGCCGGTCGAGGAGGCCGACTGGCCGGCGGACTGTTGAAGAGCCTCACGTGGGAAGAACTCGTATCCACGCATACTCTTGTCCCCGGTGCCGCTGTAATACCTGAAGTTGCCCCCAGAATCGACGGACAGGCTCTTCTTCTCTTGTAGGCTAGGCTTCGCCCCACCTGTGAACTTGAATTTGCATATGCTCACCTCTGTCGCGGGATTGTTGTTGTTCTCCGTGGGCATAGGCGGTATGAATATGGCGGACCGTTTCCTCTTGGTGGGCTGCGCCTGAGCGAGGGGCGCGTTCCTCTTCGGCCTGGGCGAGACAGGAGGTTGGACCGGCGGGACACCTGTTTGAGCAGGTGTCAACGGTTGAACGGTGGCGGGTGGCGGCGCTGGGACCAGCGGTGGACTCTTCGCCTCCATCATCGAGTATATCGACTTAGGTACGATCCTCTGCTCTTTCGGCCCTTGGTCCAAAGCTCTCGGGTAACACTTGTCGCTCTGCGCCATCTTTTGGTAGTAGAGTAGCTGCGACTGCAGCGCCATCGGGTGGATAAACACGCCCGCGTTTGGCCAGTACACGAATCCCGGATTGGTGGCGAGCATAGGATCGATTATGTTATTATTGTTGTTGTGGTTCACGTTGTTGGTGGCGCTGTTGCGAACGACGAGCGGATCCAGTAATGGACGATACCCCGACTCGGAGGGGGGGAAAGTGGATCCTATGCACTCGACCTCCTCCCCGTCGCTCGAGGTCTCGCTCTTAACCTGCCCGGACTCGTACACGTTCCCGTGCTTCCTCAACAACCTGATCTTCAATTGATTCAGATCCCTGATGCACAGGTTCAAAGGCTCGTCCTGCTCCCTCGCCGAATTCTCCGAGCCAACGTCGAACGCGCGCCGCGACTCCTGCGTCAATCGTTTCTCCAGCAAGCTGCTGATCCTGTTCTGCACGTCCGACCTTTGGAACGGAATCGCGTGCGGGGAGATCCTCTCGCGGCAGTCGCCAAGCTTCTCCCCCCTCGGGGAGAGCCTTCTCTCCTCGTGGCCGGGAGTTCCGGGCAGTATGGTTCCGTAATTCTTGTATATCAAGTGGCAGATATCAGCCTTCTTCGGCTTCCTTCCTCGCCTCGGCTTGCTGTTGTCCAACGTGATCTCGCCCATGTAAGGCAGATCCGAGTATTTCATGGGCGGCCTCGCCTGGCACGGTTGGGGAGGGGATTGCTGTTGATTGTGATTATGGTGGATGGTGGTGGTGGTGGTGTTGAGCGTGTGAGAGGAGGTGGACGTGATCACGGACCTTCTCGAGACCGACGACGCTTGATTCGGCGCGTTGTTGGCCATCGTCGAGCACTGGCCGGACGAGATCTGAGGGCAGAGCTCCTGCTGCATAGCCGCGATCCGCTGCAACCAGCCGTGCACGTCGGCTATGGGGCTTGGCGTCGAGGTGGAGCTGGTTGGCGCGGGGCTTGCTATCGTCGGCTCCGTCAATCGGGTCGGCGACGAGTTGAGGGCCTCCTGGGCGAGGGATGCCTCGTAGTGGTCCAGATACTCCGGTGGCAACGCTTGGTGGTGGAACTTGAGCTTCCATCGCGACTTCCTGCGCCCACGGCTGCAACAGATTTTCCATGTCCCTCGTTTTAGTCGATTTTTTTTTTTTTGGATCGTTTTATTTTTAAAAGGTTATCATTTTTATCGTTCGCTCGAATTCACGAGATTACGAAAAATCGTAGTTCCAAGAGTCGAAAAGGGAGATAGGATCCTCGAGACTGTCTATTTTCTATTTTTCGCAAAAATATAAGATACGTACGAATTTTAATAACACGATGATGTAAACACAATTAAAAACAATTGTACAAATTTTTAGCACAAAAAGAAAGAGAAAGCAAAATATGCGAAACCCTGCCGATTAAATTCGTCGCAAGAGAAAAAAAAAGAAAAAGACGAAAATCCTCCCGCATTCTCCCCATCCCACCCATCGTTCCTACGCGTAATTAATTCGTAATTAATTTCTCATCAAGTATTCCGCATCAAGTGTTGGAGAATCGCATGGAAATCGACTAATAATTACATCGGCGATACGAGGCGCTTTCGTTAACGTTGTTTTCCACCTAACTGCATTCCAAACCACACCTCGACACACACGTCGATTTACACCGTCGAGCCATTCCATCTTACGTGTACATTATGCATAGAGAGTGTCCTCTTCTCTACTACTGTTGGCTCGTGTTTTTCTTTTTCTTTTTCTTTTTTTTTTTTTTTTTTTTAAAGAAATTCAACGTAACGGTAATCGACTCGCGGCATTTCAACGACTCGACGTGCCAAAGAGGTTTTCTCTCTCTTTCCTCTTCTTTTTTTTCTTTCCTTCTTCTTTTTTTCAGAAAAGAACGCGGGAGAGAGTTCATTTGGAACGAACCAGTTTCTCGCTGAATCCATTCTTGCTTATCTAAAACTCTTTCGCGGCTGTAAACGAGACGAGTTGAAAGGGTCGTTGGGAGAGGAAGAGAGAGAGAGAGAGAGAGAAGAGTGTCAGTGGAGGGGATCGAGAAGGATAAAACAAGCGAGGATATTTGGAGGTTGGAGAAGGAAATAATTAATCGATTAAGAAGAGAGGAAAAGATTGTGCGAATGGAACGAAAATTTCGCTCTAAGGGGAAAGATTTGAATGGAGATCAGGACGAGTCGAAAAGTCTCGTAATGTAAATTAATTTAAACAAATTCAATTTCAACTTCGTAACGTGGCGAAAATTTATTTATTAATTAAATTGTACTGTGTTTACTCGTGTGTCTAAATCTATTTGTTGCACAAGTTGAAGAATTATTTTAAGAAACGATATATTCTGCTTTTGATGTCATATAAATTTTCACGGGGAAATAAAACTTACGATATTATTTTTAAAATTAAATAATTCTTCAAATTCTATTTATATATCGTTTAATTAATTCTCTACTCTGTTCCTTAAAATTTAACGACCTTTTAAATTATAATTGAAAACTTACCTCGGCCTTCCTCGATTATTCAGATCGGCAACGGTCTGCCCGGGAGTTTCCTCGAGCTCCTGGATCTGATGATGATGGCCCGTTTCGTGTCCATGCCCGAGTTTCCCATCGAGGGACGTCGGCGAGGTGTCTGCATCTACTTGCGGACTATCAAATTTACCATTTTTTACAACTCTCGATCGCGACGAGCAAAGAGAAGGGAAAGGGAGCATTGGGTGTTTCACCAGTTGGCAATAAAAATAAGAAATAAAGTAAACGTGGTGGACGTAATCGGGTGAAAGTTGTTATTCGATACATATTCAGGGGCATAAAGGAATTTTCTGCGCGATATAAACGCCCGTAAAACGTCATAAATCGCATCGAATTGGCCAAGCGATACGATATCCCTTTCGAAAAACTTTTATTATCCTTTACGATTTCTATTCTACAAATTTTTATACACTTCTGAATGCAGGTAATAACGGTGGAAAATTTTTTGTTTCTCTTCTAAATTACATCTGTATTTTTCTTTTTAAATGAAAAAAAAAAAAAAGAAAGAAAAGAAAACATAAAAAGGGACGATGATTTTGATTTTATTATTAATTCGATTTACCACGCTTAAAATTCTCCGTTATTTTGGACGAAATTTCGTTCACTTTAAATTTTCTTTCTCAAGGTATTAAGAAAATGAATAATGAAAAGAAAAAAGAAAAAGGCTTTGTATAATAACACGTGACCCCCGTGTGACCCAAGCTTTTGGACGTTACGTCCGCTCACGTTTCTCCGAGACACGCGTATAAATTACTTTTACGCGACTCGAGATGATCGTATTCGCTATACCGATTTTCGAGAAGAAAAAAAAGAATAATAATCTGTCGCTCATCGTAAGCGCCATCGAGATCGTCCTCCAACCCGAGAAAAATTATGTTTCGCGTAATAACAGGTTGACAATGTATTATTTTATTTCGTTATGACGAGATACATTTATCTCGTTACGATGCGCAACACGCGATAATAATAATAACTAATGCCTTTCTTATATGATTTATGTCCGATACGATAATAACACAACTCGGGCTGTCGGCACGAGCGTTTACCTTGCTCGAGGAATACTAATGTTTTCTTTCGTGGGCCCGGTTTGGATATGTTGATTCGACATAAACTCGCGATAATACCTACGTTTCATCTTTTCGAACGTGTTTTATAATTATTTTCGAGGTACAAATTTCAAGTATTTTGCGTATATACTCGTTTATTACAAAATTTCCCGCCAAAATCATGGAATAGTCACAATTTTAATCGATTCGTTCGAATTTCAACAAATTTCTAAATTTTAATGGCAACGTATATAATTGCAGTTCGTAATTTTTTATTTGACTTTGATAAATTTGATTTCTTAAAAAAAAGGATTGCTTAAAATTATAATAACCCATATTAGTACGATCATTCTTGCACACGTAACAAGTAAAATAAAATTTTCCTTGTTCCTATACACGTGATTCATTTTTAGAGGGAAAAATAATTCGAAAGAAAGCGTGATCGATGCTATCTAAGACGGGTGTTTACGAGTGAAAGCGTAAAGATAGGATCGAGGGAGATGGGAAGTGGCGATTACCATAATCGTAGGCTCACCTCAACGCATTCGTGTCACGACTTCGTTCCTCCTCCTCCTGTGGCTCCTGCTTCACCGCCATGTGGAGCAGAGGTGGCAACGGACACTTTATGTGCGACGTGTGATGCAGATGATGCTGCAAAGAGGCGCTGTCTGTGGGGCCACCGTCTATACCAGTAGATTGTGCGCGAGACACGATTTCCTCGGTCTGCATAGTGCCCCCTAGAGCGTCAAAAAAATGACTGGTTAGAATCGAATTAATGGAACTAATCATAAGTAAAATAATTTTTAAAATGCAATGATTTTCAATAACTCATTCTTCATATTCTTCAAAAATATATATAAAATAAATGCAAGATTCTAGTGACTCCTAGAACCATAACAAATATAATTGGTTATGATGGAATCGATGAATAATTAATAAAACAGTTTTTCAATTTTTTAATGTTGCGCGAGAAGATAAAAAATTACTAGATTCTATAGTATTAGCAGATAAATTAATTATTTGACACCATCTATTCCATCATCGATCATTTGTTGAAATGAAGACAAAATTTTGTGCCAAAAGTGCATAAAATTTATTACAAATTCACAGCCAAAAGTTGGCCAGCCCGCAACATGCAACATCACAACATTCGCGCCAACGAATTTTAACTTCCGTTTCATCGTCTCTAAATCATATGTATATAGATTCGTATTATCCGAAGTAAAGGTTACGCGTGGGCACCGCATTGATATTAGCGCCGCCACCATGCAACCTGGATATTGCGGAATATTCATAACCTTCTCGTTTTAATGAAACATTGTTCGATTAACCATAAACGTTCGCCCAGTGTTTCCACGCGATTTCTAATCGTGGAAACGCGTAACAACCGTGAGAAATGGAAGAAGCCAAACAAATGCCCACATGCAGATTGTCATCAGATTGTGCGGGAGAATTGCAGCATAGTTAGGTTAGTTCGCGTGTGGGCGCGGCGTGTCCCAAGTGTGTCCAAGGCTTCGAAATCGTATAAAAAGGGAAACGGACAGCTGCCGCGTATTACACGACTCGAAGATCGGCTTAGGAATGCTTTTCAACTCGCCTCTACACACCTGTCATGTATAATTTTCTCGTAATGCTCCTTTAAGCTCATCGAAACGTCGATCCGCCACGTATAAATATAGTACCATGGTTTAACGCGTGTAATAATAAACGCAGAAATAGAAGGACATGGAAGGTGTTTGCGAAAACATTGTAAATTTGTGCGCGAGTGTCGGTAAAAAGGGAAAAGAAAAATTTTGGTTAAGATGACGAAGAATTTAACGAGAAGTTAGGTTAGGGAATTTATATATTCACACGCGAAAAATATCGTTTAATTTGAGAGTATAAAAAAAAAAAAAAGAAAAAAAATTTTTTGGTTAAGAGAGTTTTTAGTTTTAAGAAAATTTATAAAAAGTAACACGAGCATGAGTTCGTTCACAAGAAAAAAAAAATAAGATTATAGTTTTAAAATTAATTTAAAGATTCAATCGATGAAATTTTATTGAAATGATGAAAGAAAAAAATTAATAAATTCGCGTCGATCTCGCGCATAACCTCAAACTTGAGCCGTCATCGATTTTCTGGCATCCTGTACGTTTCAAAGCGGGATAAATTTAACGAAAGGAAATAATGATTAATTGATAACGGACGACTATGTGTAAAGCAAAGGGGAGACTACGTGTCGAGTTCATTCGACCGTGGACGACGTTCAAAACGAGATCGTCGCGACGAGACGATATCAAAGAAAGACGTAACTCTTGAACGGGAGCGGAAATGAGACGTGGAAAAAAAAGAAAAGGAAGTGGAAGAGAGAAAGGGAGTGTAAGCTGACGAAGGAGAGATGAAGAAGAGTATTGTAACATAGAGAGTTTGCAGCCACTGTCGGATAAAAATATTCACGCTCGAAAATAGAAACACGGACACGAGTACGATCCACCCAACACCCGCAATTGCTGGACCGTACTTGGCCTTAGTCGATCGGGTTTCACACGAGTTGTACACCATCCATTTGTCGAGGTTAGGTGCAACAATGTTCGTCGAATTGTGGAACCAGAGCCAAAGATGGAACGTGAAATTTGAATACGGCGAGTATAAAACGGCCGAGGGAAATAAAAAGAGTTTCGAAAGAGATGAAATAAAAAAAAAAAGGTAGATCGTGCAATAAAAATTTTCATAATTTTTATACACGCACGTTACTGTCGCGATGTTGTTCATGTACGTAAAATTGGATAAATGAAGCGCGATTCGAGTAAAAAAAAAATTTGAGAGAATAATTTTTACAGTGGATGGGTAATTTTTGGAGAGAAAAATAATTAAATTTCGTTTATTTTTTACGTTAATGGTAAAATTTTAACCATTATCGTGTAAGTTTTTCAGCGTACGTGTAATTAATATAGAAACAAATGTAACACATAATTTATTATTTCGTTTTCGTGACCTACTCCATTCTCAGAGATTTAACAATACGTTTCGTGGATCATTTATTTTTTTTACATGAAAGAATATTTCTGTATCGAAAATAATTGTGACAATGATCCTTCTAATCTAAAAACAAAAATAAATTCATTTACGTCAGCAATAAATCTTGTACCAAATATAAATTGTATATTTATGTCACCTTATATCACCTCTCCGTTATAAATAATACTTCTTTTGAGGCAAACAATTGATTTGATTCATTTTAAATCCAATAACATTAAAAAAAAAAAAAAAGAAATAAATTAAAACATTGTCTTTCAATTCATAATAACTCATCTTCTTATAGATAATTATTCGTTATGTAACAGAAATTGCAACGATCCTGATCGAAAAAAGAATAAAACTGGAAAAAAAATTCGCAAATCGAAGAATAATTAAAACCAAAAAAAAAAAAAAAAAAAAATACGCGAGAAAGCTAAAAGAATTATTGTTCGATTCGAAGCTAGCAATTCCTTCGCGGCACGTGCAACAAAAGTTCTAATAACCCCGGACACGTGTCATTTAAAATTAAACGGTACAGCGTCGCGCGAGTTAGATTAATCGAAGCGAAAGTCCCGCCTCGGCTTATCCACCCACATCGCCGACAACACAAAACACGCCTAATAGCGAGCGAAAAGAAAACTCAATTCCAATCAATTTTATACAAGGTGTCAACACATTCGTGGGATACCTTTGAAGAATTATCGAATCGAAACGAATTATTTTCCCCGATTTAATGCAAATTTCAATTTCTTCCATCAAATCGCGTTTCCTTCCGATCTCTTGAACCTTTCCAAAAAGATCTCACAAAAATGTATCTCAATTTAGATATTATTTCCCTAATGCGAATAATATTTGTTCAATTCTCATCCGCGTATAACACTTCGATTCAAACAGGTTCGAGCGTTAACACCCTGTATATTTATATATATATATTCTAGCTTCGAAGGCTGGCTCGAGCGTAAAACGATCCCCAAACTCGACGCTAAAACGCGGTCCAAAAACGGGAGCAATATAGCTTACCGGCCCGGTGTATACGTGTGATGGTGTATTAATAACGGCGTGTGCGAGGGAGGTGGCCCGATTCATTGAAGACCAGTTATAGAATGATGCAGGCGGCCGCGTAACTACAATTTATTTTTTGGCTATTTTTAGCGGTTGGCGTAGCGCCACTATTTTCGGTTCTCTCAAATTTCTCACTCCATATTTGGGATTATGGATGACGGGGCCGAGCACCGCGGTGTATCTTTACGACTACGCCCGTCGAGACACTTTCGTGCCTCTGCCTCGTGCTCCCCTAACTATCCATTTATGCCCAACCTGACTAAAACCAGCCGCGCCGGTTAACCCCCCGGGTGCTCCGACCAGCAATTTTTCCTTTCCCAAACCGCTTCCAAACAATCGTGAAATCGTCAAACGATTCGATTTTACCGCGCGCCAAGTGTTATCCGATTTTTCGATCCAAGGTCGAATGGATGCAAAAATTGTGTAATTATTGTTATTATTATTATTACCACTCTTCAACGGGGAGGATGGTATTGGATTGGGAAGACGATTCGACGAAGGGTGGGACGAGGGAGAGATTCCATGGTGCGAAGCGTGTGTTACGGGCAACAAGTGGACAACAGTGGATTCGTGGCCGCACACGCGGCCGAGCATGCGTTTGGACTGTAATTGGCAGGGGCGCAAGTAGGTTAAAAACGGTAAGTCAGCTGCGATGCTGAGGAATATGTCAAGGCGACGCGATGTCGAGGGGAGCATAATACGAAATAATGTATATTGTTTCTCGTAGAAGTGATCCATCCTCGATCTTCGAATTGAAAGATCAAACTCGAACGAGAGAGAAAGAGTGGGGAGGAAGGAAGAAGAGCGAGGAAAAAGGGTGCACGGATGGACCGTGATCCACTGGCCTGGTTACACCATCGACTCGCACCTACGCACACACGTACGCGCGCACGCACACACACACACACACACACGCGCGCGGCTCAGCAGTCGAGGCTATTGTTTTTTACTTCGAATTTACCTGTGACGGGAAACTTGCTTTCCGGCAACATGGAAGGATCGTTCTTCCTTCTTAATCCTGATCGACGACAACCGGGCCACGAACAACGGCCGAACCCTCCTCTCTTGGATTCGAGTCGACGGTCGTAATGACGATAATCCACTCGACTATCGCGTATCCAACCAATTCGAAACTGTCGGCACGGTGCGATGAACCCGGATCACGCGATCCTCGCCTCGGACACTTGTTGTCTCGGCCGTCACTCGGGTTGAGCGAGTGCCACTCGGGGAGGTTGGAAAAGCGGGGAAAGCGAGCCGATCGCTTTGCGGGTGCAGAATGGAGACGGTGGTCGAAGGAAGTAAGAAGGTAAGTAAGAAGGCGGATAGAGGGCACGTGTCTGGGATGGGTGGTTATCCGCACGAGAACATCGATACGTGAAGAAGAGGATAAAGAGGGGCTAAAGACACGGAGTAGAGGGAAGGGGGAGAGAGAGAGAGAGAGAGAGGAGGGGAGGGAGAGAGAGAG